ACCTACCTACCTACCTACCTACCTACCTACCTACCTATCTATCCTCTCTCAATCAATCAATCATTCAGTCACAGTGTTTCTCAACCTTGGCCGCTTTCAGAGGTGTGGACTTCAACTCCCAGAATTCCCCAGCCAGCAAGGTTGAAGTCCACACCTCTGAAAGCGGCCAAGGTTGAGAAACACTGATCAGTCAGGTGGGTGGCCATATAAACTTTATAAATAAATACACTTAAAAAAAAAAGATACATGTGGTATACTTAACTGAATGGATTGTACCAGAAATTATAATTTCCTGAATACATACTAGAAACAAGCACGATCAACTGTAGTTTATAGAAATAAATAAGTAAACTATTATTTTCAAATAATGTAAGCAAATCACTTCATGACTGAATGTCACTTAGCATGTTTTATACAGATTCCTCCAGTAGAATTTATTTATTGTTTATGTATTACTTGGACTTCAGTGCTGCTTCAGTATAACGACTCTAAACAGCTTAAAATGAGATCGCATAAGACACACATTGAGCAATAATGCAAAATATGTTATCAGTCAAAATATTAACATAGATAGATGGCATTGTTTATTCCTCTTAAACATACAACTGATTCCTGTAGGGCTGAATATACCTTTTTAACGATTGTTCAGCCTATTCTTTCTAAGGGGGCATGGGACAGATTGTGTCTTAATTTTTAATTTATGCAAAGTGCAATTTTTAAAATTGTATGCACAAATCTATAATGCTCAATATAGTTCTCTTATTTGGAGAAGGAAAAAGAATTTCTTCATTGGAATATAGGACAGAACAATCTATAAACATCTCTAGAGACAGAATTTAATATTTGATGTTTTCTGTGAATTTACTTAAGCAGAAGTAATTATTATCTTACCATGATATAAGAGGCATTAATGTAATCAGTTCCCTTCATGCCAGGTAATGGTGCTAGTCCTACCCTTGCTCGCTCAGCTGCAGTATCAAACAAACAAATAAATAATATGTCAAATAGATCTTAATAATCACAGCAGGATTATTTTAACAAAATCTAGTTTTCTCCCAGGATCTTATTTGGATGGTAAAATAACACAGGAGATTAAACTGATAAACTGTTCACATGAAAACATGATTTCCTGAATAAAATGTTACTTCTACTGTTTCTGTTGCCAAAATCGCCAGATGAAAACTAACAACATATTCCTCCATGAACCTCACTGAGATACCAGAACAGGGATTTTCAAACGTTTTCAGGCTGCGGGATCTGTTAGGATAAAAAGTTCCCAGAATCTGTTGCCTGCCTCTCAGACACACACAGAGTAATGTGTTATTATGGGTGCAAACACCCCCATCCTTTCCACTGATACCTTAGAAAAACTGCTATGGGTGCCTGGTTGTGTTCAACTGAACTTATTTTTTGCCCTGGAAACCTATCAAGTTCTCATGAAACCGTAGGATTTGAAAAACCATACAAGGATCCACCCTGGAAGACTGCACCTCTTTGCTAGAATGCTTTTAGAATCTATGAAAACCATTAGCAGTTCTTTAGTTTATGCAAGGACCAGTTTGACTGGATTAATCTACAGTATAAGTTTTCCAGAACAATTATATGTTGATTAAAAACAAAAGTACTTGAGACAAGCCAACATATAATCAGGCATCTCAGACTTGAGTATTGGTGTTTGGGTGTGTATGTAGGTATGCAGAAGAGTTATACTCAACCTTGACTCAGGACTATAAAGCAATTGAATCCACCAGCTGCTTCATGCAAATATAATTCAACAATTAGCAGAATGAATTTATGCAGAGCAGCAATCAGATTCAAAGATGAGATCTTACATGGCACTACTGATGAGTTTCTGTTCTTCTCTTTGTTGCAGTCCTTCTGAGCACTAAAGCATTCTATGTATTTTGCATTGCATTGCATAACCAGCTACAAAATTTAAACAGAAAAGAAGCAAGGTTATCAGTCTTTTAAAACAGAAATACGCACATACTTTTTTATGGTCATTGTTGACAATGTAAGTGTATTGCCATTGTTAAAAGAATTCAGAATGCTAAAAAGAATCAAACTCCGTGCATTAAAAAAAAAATACACACACACACACACACACACATTTGTTGGGTATCATCTGTATAATTCTCGTTTTTAAGTAAATGAAATTCTATTCCATCTTGGTTTGACAAGTTTAATTTAACTTTTCCTGAAGATATATTCCAACGATATAAAGGGAAAAAAGGTACAACAAAAACATGTCTCTAGAAGGTAAAACATTTTATTTTGTAAAACATCAAAACAAAGTTATGCTTGAAGAATTTTTCCTCCTACTTACAGTTACTGGGAACCTCTAACATTGCAACTAACATCAAGTTATTTAGGCTAATCTATTTTGTTTGCCAAGTAAATTTTTGTAAATTATCCATTGTGCAAAATGAACAGTTATGACCAATTTGTGGGACACTTTGCAGATAAAATGCCTTGCAGATATTCCAGTTTTGATTCCACAATTAATTAAACACCTTTTGACTTGTCCTGATAGATGCATGCTCTATTTTCAAATTCGGTTAAGGTATGAACAAGATCCTTGGATGGGTGAAATTATACGTATACATTTTACCTTTCTAGGCAATTTTAGGCAGCCAGTATGTGTGGGTATTGAGTAATAGATGTCTGTCTGACTTCTACCAAGCTTCAAGGAAGTGACTGTGAAACTCTTGTTTTTTAAAAATGTATCTTTATACTTGGAATACTGTACAGGTAGACCTCGCTTAATGACTGCCCTGTTTAGCAACCATTTGAGGTTATGGTGGCACTGAAAAAGTAACTTTATGACCAGTCACACAGTCCCCATGGTCATGTGATTGACATGTGAGCGCTTTGCAACTGGTGGGTGTTTACAACCGTTGCAGCGTCCCGTGGGCATAAGATCACCATTTGCATGCTTCACAACCAGCTTCCGACAAGCAGAGTCAATGGAGGAGCTGGCAATAAAATCGCAAGTCATGATCACATGATGTCTCGCTTAATGACCAAATGGGAAATGATGTCATAAGTACATCATGGTCATGTCATGTTTTGCTTAGCGATTGCATGTCATGTTTTGCTTAGCAACAGAGTCGCCGGTCCCACTTGTGGTCACTAAGCGAGGACTACCTGTATCATTCCATTGGTAGGAAGAATGCATATGGAGCCCCCAAGGTGACAGCAGATATGCAAAAGCGTGATGTTTGTGATGATGTGCTATTTTTGGATAAAATAAGAAATTAATAGACATGTTAAGTATGTGATGAGCTTAATGTTACCTATTTTAGTTAAAACAATAACATTGCACATACAAAGCACTTTTTAAAAAAAAGCCCTGGAAATTCTTCCCTTTGCCCTCTTGCCATTAGCTTCAGATTCCTGCAAATGTATTTTAAAGACTCCCTTCCTCGATACATACAACCCTTCCTCGCCCCTGTGCTAGAATTTGCTAATGATATGCCCCTAATCTTTTGGTTAATATATCTAGTTTTAAGTTTGGACTCAGTTCCCTAAGGAAAAACCTCATCAAGGATTACACAGAGGGCGTTACCATGACTTAAGTATATTATCAATCATACCAATTCAATTTTCTTGAATTATTTGAATGATCTAAGAATCAACCCTGGTCAGGAAGGGCAGCAAATTGACAAATCACGTAGCTATAACCTGTAATACTTTTATCAGATCCATGCAGCTAAGGCCAAAGTTTACCTTGAACTGTTTCTCTAGCCGAGTCTTCCCTCCGATTCCAGGTATGAGAATGCTGTTAACGTAGCTATGTAGCTGACTGGCAGAAACTTCGGTCTCTTTCCCAAGAATGGCTTCCAACAAGGCATCATGAATGAAAACATACTGCTCCTAAAAGTGCAGAAGCAAAGAGAGATGACCAAGTGTAACTCTGTTGTGAACGGAACGCAAGGGCTTTTGAGTCATGCATGCAGTGTATTTGCAACAACTTTGGATCAAATATTACCTACACAGCTTTTCAGTTTCACTGATGGTTCTGTTTCCCGAGCTCTTTCCTTTTGAAGCTGTTTTTTCCCCCTCTGCTTGTTTATTATTATTTTTTTCCAATGCCTATAATTTTTCTTCCATTCTGTCTAACGTAAATTGCCTCTCTCTTTTTCTAAGAATACTTCCCTGGTTTACTTTTATCAAAATAAAGTGGTGTTATGGGTTAACTTCCATCAACTTATGTTTCTAATCTTTCTAAAAGGAACGTGCATTTTAAATAATGCCGATAAAACATTCACCTTGTGTCTTGACAATATTTAAAGTTTTGAAATTTTGGGTCTCTACTGTTCCCCCCCACTCCATCCCAAATGATCAGTGAAGCACTTAGTTTATTCTACGTTTTACATAAATAAAAAATAATCTCTCTGTCTATACTCATCCACAAGCATGGATGAGTATATCTATGTGGTCACTAAGCGTCAACACCAACTTGATGGCACATAATGATTCTTTATATATACTTGCAGAATTAACAGACAAACACAAGAAATTTAATCTGCAAATTATGGCGTTATTTTAATAGTAACTGCAATAGTCAAACTTCATGAAACAAAATTTAACTGGTGACAACTGATTGCAGTAACGACAATGAATACATTTCCGATTCTTACCTCCGTCTGGACGAGGTAGTTGCGCTGTGTCCTGATGTGTTTCAGGAAACCCAGGACATTAACTGTGCTTTTGTCTTTTATCTGTTGCAGCATACTGTCTATTACAATGTAGGTACCAGTCCTGCCAACACCAGCACTAAGCCCCCACCGAAAGAAAAAAGGACAACCAACAGAAAACATAATTAAATATTAAGAAAAATGCTTAAAGGTTAATACTAATTTTCATAACAACCATGGTGGAAGTGCTGCAAGCAATGCTCAACCAGAACCTTTCAAATGGAGTAGGATATGGCTCATGATGCTGGGGGCAGTCCCAAAATTGGCATCCTGCAAGATGGTTTTGTGATGAAACCAGTTCTTTGGGGATTTTTGACAGAAGTGGCATAAGTTCTCTTAAGTTTATATCCTTTAAGATCTCACGGTCACCACCCCAAAATGATACATTTAACGAGTTCTTATGTAAGCTGTAGTACTTCAACCAATAAAACTTGTCTGTGGTTGATTAAATGTTTGCTTTGCCACATGGGCTTGAAGAATTTTTTCTTTGAAGATGAATGTCTTATATGTTTTCTTTCCCTTTCCCTTTTTGTATCCTTCTGTATAAAGAATCCTAAGTTCTTTATTTGCATGCTAACAAAACACAGCCTTCACCTAATATTTAGGGGTCTTCCTATGTTACAGCACATTATCTTAATGTGATTCTCTAGATAGCACTTTCAACCCTGCATGGAGAGCATATGGAAGCTATTTCCCTACTAGTGCAATGCTAGATAGGACTCAAAGTCTGCTAGCCAGTTGTTCTATGATTACTGAGTTACAATTTTAGATCAAGTTTTGGAATGCTTACTCATATTTTTTTTTTATTTCAGAGATGATTACATGGGGAAGTTTAGTTTTCAAATCAGAAACAAATTATAGTTGTGCACCAACTTCAAAATGGATGATATTCAGAACCTTGCTCTGTATATTTTTTTTGTTATATCAAACATTTTCATTGTGTATCATAACAAAGTTTCCAATTCAGGAGAATGAACTTCTCCAAAGAAAGCATGCGGAGAAAATTATGAGTTAAGGTACTGACGATGAATCTTTTCAGGTGATTTTGTTCAGATTTATAGGAAAGAATACCCTACGAATGCTCATATCGACAAACCCAGGAAGCACAAGCTCTTTCTGGCAATCAGGATACATTAAGGGGTCCTATGAATGCAAGAATACCTATTTCCTTGATCATTTATTTTTTTATGCTGTTTAGCTTTGTGCCTACATATGACACAGTGCCTTTCAGTAGTGTTTCCAGAATACTTTACATTAAAAAAAAAAATCCAGAACCAGATGACATCATACTTATGATAGTGACTTAGAATGAAACTTTGGTTTGCCCAAGGATTCCATGAATGGGCTTGGAAAAATAATGTTGTGACTCAGACTCAACTCTCTATGTTGTATATATTTTCTGTTACCGCGGTGAATGTAGTTATTTTTATTTACGTATTGAATGTGTACGTTGCCAAATGCATTTAGACTCATGGTGACTTATAAGAAAGTCAGCAGCTAAAAAAACAAAAAAACAAACAGGCATATGTTATGGTATAACATCCAAGGCAAAGAACAAAAAGCAGTATAATGTGCATAGTAAACAATATAGACAAGTAAAATCTCCACAAGAACAGGGGATGGACATATAGATGTGGTAAATAATAACCAAACCACAATTGCAACAGTGCCTTAATCAACACTATGTTGTCCACAAGAATGGAATGATAATGTCCAAACTTACCTGCAATGTACAATTACTGGGCCCATATCAACAGTTCTGGCTGCAGAGGATCTTCTCACAAACGTCAGCACTGGAAGTGCATATTCAGGTACTCCCATGTCAGGCCATTGTGTGTAATGGTACTGAATGACTGTCCTTTCATTCTGACGTCCTTTGGGGTTCCCCTTTTGATCCAGAATTCATGAAACATATACAGGTAGAAAATATTAATTATTAATATTAATTAACATCAGGGTTTCCTTGTACTCACATTCTTCCTTCTCTATACTGCTATTCAACTCTCTCTAGACACCTTAGAGCAGAACAAACTCAGTGGTGCTGTAATTTAAGGATTTTACCTGAAAAAGGTCTCTAAGTTCTAATACAATAACACTATCTGAGAACTTACATACACTTTGTATTACAAGGAAGCCTACTTTGTAATCTGGCACTATTGCCACCTCAATTTATTTATAAGAGGCAGTTTTTAGTAGGTTCTCACTGCCCCACCTGAACTGAAAACGATATCCTCCAGAAATGCAATTGAGTCAGATAAAACTCTGATTTCTCTGTTTCAGGTTCATTGCTGTATTTCATTTGAATTTTAAGTAAGAGTGGCAAAAACTGGCCCTCCAAAAGTTATTGGACTACAATCCCTGTAATCCTTGACTATACTGATTGGACTGATAGGAGTAGGAAAGGAACATTAAACTATTTATGTGGCAACCTTTATACATTTTTGGAATCCAACAAAACTCACAGACTTAATCTTGTTTGTTTTTTTTTAATTTGCTTATCTTTGATGTTGAGCCTATCTAGAAAACGATTACAGTAATTTATGATGGCTAATACGAGTTCCTTGTTTTACAAAGTCAAATAAGAAAAAAGATGTTGATGAACGATTTTCTTCTTCATTTACTCGTAATGTTCAATCATTGTACTCCTTTGTCCCAGCCATTAAAAATTCTTAACTTCCCAAACCTTGTCAAATTGTAAAAACATACAATTTGATTTTTTGCTATATGCATTACATTGTTTTTGGTTTCATTGTTTCTATTGTTTTCTGGCTTTTCTGCTTTGTTGTATACTGCAGAGAGTCTCGTGATTGCAACAATCTACAAATATTGTATGTATGTATGTATGAGTCAATCAATCACGTTCAGTGGCAACTTCCCAAATGGATACTTTTTTGAAAAACATAGTATAATGATATTGCTCACTTTTTTCATTTTTGCATTCCTGACTGTGAAGCGGCGGACAGTGTAACAAGCATGTACTTTTGTGCTCTTCAGTGTGACAATGATATGGCCATATTCCTCACTGTTTTCAGTTGGCCAATATTGGTCACATTTTCTCTGAGAAAAGAAGAAGGACATAGGTTGTTCAAGTCTGAAACACACTAGAGAACACAGAATTGAGGACTATTCAATCAGAGGTCTGGCTGAATAATACAGCCGTGCTTCTCTTTCTTAGTTCTGGAAAAACTGCTTACTATTATTATTTTACCCTTTGTTAAGACTTGTGTTTTTATTCATAGGTTATTATATAACAAATGGTTTAGGACATTATTTATGAAATATTATGTTTGTAATACAGTTTATCTGATATACTTTTACACAAATTCATCATTGCTGGTATAATTTCATTTTTGTTAATGTCTTATATTTGTATATATTTTATCATTTTCATCAGGTTTTTATTTGTGCTAGTCTTAGCTACATGTTGTTTTGCAACTGCTACTATGAATGATTTTGACTATACTTTTTATGGAATGATAGTGTACATATAAAAATGAAAACAATGTCTGGAATTGAACTGGAACATTTCAGTTTCAACATGAGATCTCTAGGCCTTATTATTCACTGCCTACAAAACTTTTGGAAGCCTTTTTTGATTCCTTTTTCTAGCAGCAAAACAGTTCAGCCAATGTTAGCTAGTGAACCTTCTCCTTATCCCGTTGTTGTTTTAAGACAGCTCAGCCAATTGCTTCTCCAAGCTTTAATCACCCTAGAGCAATGTTTCTCAATGCTGGCACCTTTCAGATGTGTGGACTTCAACTCCCAGAATTCCCTAGCCAGCAAGGCTGGCTGGGGAAT